CATCTTTAATTAGCTGAGGTCCTTACATGACAGATATTTGTAATAAGGAATTTGGGGAAATATGTTCTTGGCTATAATGCTTTATTTACCCTTGTGCTTTCCTCTTGAGCCTGAACACTGTTAGCTCTCTAACATATATGCCCTCACAATAAAGAACGCATGCTCCACAGCCTTTAAGCTCCTTATTGGTCCATTTGTTCCTAGATTCAGGAATTATATTCCTTCTTTTTAATGGGTTTACAAGACCAGAATTTTTGTATCTTGAAGGCCATAGTATATTGTGAGGTTTCCAAGTTTGCTTTCGGGTTCTAAAAGCAACTTTGTGGTAGCATCTCAGAGATCTATGTGAACTTATTTAACCTGATGAAATGATGCTGTACTGCTGTGGCTAGATGGCTGTTATTATCCTACTGGTCTCATTTTGGAGAAAAGAAGGCTCGGGGTGACCTTATCGCTCTCTACAACTACCTGAAAGGAGGATGGAGCCAGGAGGTGGCTGGTCTCTTCTCCCAAGGAACAAGGGATAGAACAAAAGGAAACTGCCTCAAGCTGTGCCAGTGGAGGTTTAGACTGGATATTAGGAACAATTTCTTCCCTGAAAGTGTGGTCAGGCATTGGAACAGGCTGCCCAGGGCAGTGGTGGATCTGAACCGTCCCCAGAAGCGTTCACAAACCGTGCAGATGGGTCCTCAGTGACATAGTTTAGTGGTGGCCTTGGCAGTGTTGGGGAACAGTTGGACTTGATGATCTTAAAGGTCTTTTCTAATGTAGTTTATTCTATGACTCAATGATTCTAGGGTTTCTCTGTCCTACACTGGAGTCTTCACTATAGACATTTCGTGGTGACTTTGCAGTCACTTTACTGTGCTGAGCAGCACATGTTAGTTTTAGAGGAGGAGACACTGCTATCTGTAAAGAAACAATCAATGTTGACTATGTTGATAGGCTTTCAGCGTTATTTAAGAAAATGTTTAAGCTCAAGCACAAGAAACTTGATTGCTTATACTTGCCTTAGGGTAGGACTTAAGTGAACATCACTGTCTATCACCTCACAATGTCCAGATATTTTTCCTAGGAGAAAAACTGTGCAAATTAGCAAAAGAGGAAATAGCACATCTGAGAGGATCCAATAGTCTGGACAATGGGGGATCAGAACTGTAGAGGGCATAGTGTAACTCTACTGTTCCTAAGTGGAGGCAAAAATGTTATAAATCATTATATCCCTGCTGATCTCAGTAATTCACACAAAAGAAGGCTCTACCCCAATGTGCCCAATATTTCTGCTATGAGTTGACAAACATAGCCACATGTCCACTCAGGTAAAAAGTGTGTTTTATTTACCTATATGGATTGTGGAATCAAAGTCATTGGCAGTATCTGTTTAAGGGAGAACAAAATTACCTTGTATGTAAAGTGACTGAACCTGTTGCAACAGCTATCACTTCACCAATGAAGCAATATGATTGGACAGAGCATCTGAAACAGCAGCATTGAGTCAATATGAAAAAAGCCCTAGAAACAACAATTTCTCTTTTAATGTAGGTGGGAAAGGAAAGCTCAGGTTGGAGAATTTTTGGCTGTGAATAGCAATGATGAGGAAATGTATTCACTGTATTTGTTGGTATAGTCTAAAACAGAAGATGAAACACCCTTTCCTTTCTCCATGAAAGGAAAGGTATGTTATATGCACACCTTCAGGCATAAGTAAAAGGCCAGGTTGTCTTCTTGCGTAGGTGGAAATCAGGCATAACCTTGCTGGAGCCACCAGAATTACACCAATGTAAATTGTTCTTAGCGCCAGAATCAAGAACTGATGCTTGATGACTGGTTAGTTTATTGGACACTGACATAGAGATTATACTGAATTATTTTTTACTCCCTGAACTATTCTTGACCTCAATGAACTGTTTCAAAGAACATCTTATATCCACTAAGTGGAAAAAATTTTCCTACTGAGTGAGGCAAGGCCTGGAAGATATTGTTTCCAACTTAATCACACATCTAACATGTAAATAAACGCTGTGTTAAACTAAGAAGTTTATCTGTAATTCTCTCAGAAAATAAAGTTGGATGAGCAGCATCTGTATGTGCTGTTCTTCTTATGTCCTGATAGATATCATACAAAAGAAAGATGTGCCAATGAGTCCATTAATTTGGGTATTGAAAGAAGCAAATTTGTATTTAATTATCTTTCTGCCTTACTAAAAGCATTTTCAGAGTACTCTGTAAGCAGATGAGGCAGTGAAGAAGGTCCTTGTACTTTCAGGTACTAAGATAACACTGCAGTATTTCAGTGTATTCTTTGGAGTCTAGAGGCAGAGAGAGAGCAGCTGGCAAAAATTGACATGAAACAATTAAAGAAGTGGTTGAACGGCACTGTTCTTGGATAAAGCCAGAAAACAAGCAGTAGTTATTACTATAATATGCTACGGCAGTGCTTAAAATTTATTTACTCCTATTAAACAAAAACAAATGCATGCTTTCAGTAGCTAAAGACCCTACTATCAAAACATAAGGTTGCTATGACTGAAATAGTAACTTTTTCAGAGCAGTAAATAAAAGAAAGCTAGCTAGGGAAGAAAAGATGGGCTTAAAATGAAATCTGCTATTTGAAATAAATAAAAGAAAATTTAATAAATATTAATGAATGGAAGATTATCGGGCACCTTCTAATCCTCAATCAAATTTATCTAACACTGTTTTCAGAGGTACTTAATTGAAAGTGGAAAGTAAAAAGTGGGGAGTGTTTAAAAGGCTTAACTAAATTTTTGATTTACACATTTCAGGAGTTTGATGAAGGACCTGACCAGGATAAAATAAAAAACTTTTTTCCAAACAAATGTTCCTATATGTTTGTATCCCTTTTAGTGTGTGTTTTGTTTGTTTATTTGTTTCTGTTTTGAGACAAGTATAAGTAGTTTTGAAATAATGTCAGTGGAAAGCCAGACTGCTTTATTGTATACCCAGTGGTTCTGCAGCATAACCCTGATTAGAAGGCTAATGTGTATATTATGGTATATGCAGATAAATAAGCCTACCAGTTTCTACTGGAAATGTCATGTGGATAGAGAATTGTAGAGGAGCAAGCTCTTTCTGTTATTTATAATTACCTTTCACAAAATGTCTTTTTTCCCCAAAAGGTGTTTGGTTTTGATCAAGAAGCTTAAATATTGAAAGCTTGATTAATTTTAGTTTAGATAGGAAACTGCAGTGCTTCACGTGAATTTTTTGTTTCATCATAACAGTATTGTGAATGAAAACTATACTTAGGATCGCCAGGAGGGGGGATCAGAATGTGGTGTTGTATCAGAGACCTTGTGCTGCAGAGAGAGACTAACCTATGGAGTTCACAAAGTACAGCTCTTGGTAGATACTGTGTCAGCATTTTTCAGGTAAAAATAATTTGGTTTCTAGTATTTACAAAAGACTTTAAAAAAATCAAGGGAGGCTTTTACTGGAGTGACTCGACTATTCCTGTAAAAATGAAGAAACTGTTGATATATATGAGCAAAAATGAAATACATATATGAGAGATTGATGCATGAAATAGAGATGATAAAGTAGAAGAAAAAACAAAAAAAAAATGGATTCATGATCAGGAGTGAAGCCTGCAGTAATAGCTTCTGTATTGTTCTTCTGTGCAGTATTAGCTTCTGTACTGTTCTTCTGTTGATTGAACTTCCTTAACACTATTCTGTTGCCTAGATTATATTTATATTTATTGCAAAATTGTGCTGGTGTGTCTACATATGTATGCATGCACATGTACATCTACATCCTTCATGTACTGAGTTGACCAAAGGGTGTGTGACCATGTTATCAAAGACAAAACTATTTACATGTCAAGGACTCGGTGACATGCTTAGGCTCTCATGTAGTTTTTGATGAAGGGTGGACATGGGTGTATTTCACCGGTATGTGTTCAAACAGTGCATTGGAAGCAAACCCATTTCTACCTGTTTCTAACCAGCTGATATTTTAGCTGATGCCCTTCCTAGGTTATCCAGGAGATTCACTAGAAGCTACATGGGCTTCATCTAGTGATAAATCCCTAACCAAGGCAAATTTTCTCAGCTTCACTGTTTTCTTGAAATGTTAAAATGAATGAGAAGTGATGACCCAATCTTTTTTAGAAGCTGTAAAAAGTTTAACTGCAAAAAGCCCTGACTGCAGTCTTTGAAATCAATCTGTTTGTTTCTATAGATGTAACTTGATTGTGAATAACTTCATCATGAAGCTACATCAGGGAAGGGATTAGTAACTTGTAAGTACATGCATCAGCCACTGAACCATTTTGCAGACTATAGGAAAATGCTGCTGCAGAGCAGGTGAATTCATGGGCTCGTGGCTAGGGCCATGAGTCATACCACTGCTTGCTGCCTGCTGCCCACATACCCCACCTCTGGAGCTAACCACTTCAAGAGAAAAATCCCTTTTCTTTTTCCCTCTTTTAAAGTATGATGTCTATATTCACTTATTTAGTGGCAAATAACTGTATAGAATACTCAAGTGTAGCTAACCATGAAATAAAATGAGATAACCACAAAGCCACTGATTTAGGGCCATTAAGACTCATACAACCAGGGGGTTGTAAATTATTACATATATAAATGGAGCCTCACACAAAGAAATCTCATGGTCATACCTATTTAAGGAAATACTTGTAATGGTAGAGGGAATTCAGAGCTTCTGCACATCTGAAATTACTTCATCTCATCCAAACTTCCTACAGCCTATTCAGCTCAGAGTTCTTGATAATCAGAGCTAAGAGAATAAATGTGAAGCCATAAAACATAGACAGTGTCTGTATCTGTGACTAAGATATAGGAAGGCAGAGCTACTTGATGAGTCCCTGCTATATACACATACAAAAGCACCTTTAGTGCTGGTGTTATTCTGTAAATACTACAAGTCAAATAAATATCTGTAAATATGACTAGAGTACTGCTGCACTTCGTGGTTCAGGACACAGCTAATTCCTTATTAGCCACTCTCCTTACCTTCTTGTGTTTGTAATACTGTAGGTAGCCATTATGTTTCAGCACAAACCATCTCTTTCTCCAGCCCCTCAGTATTGCTGACTGTGTTCGTTTATGCAAATATCCTCGGCAGGTAGGTCTGGGGGTGTTAGGGTAACGGCTGATATCTGATCCCACTGTCATAGTCAGGATATCAGGGCCTAAAATATTACATGAAGAATGTGAAAGCACAGGTCAAAACTATAATCCAGTATGTCAATATTTTTAAATACCCTTGTAGGGTATGGAGCAGGAAGGCAGTCTTCTATCCTATATGCCCTTCTCTTCCCCGTGTCACTTCTAGAAGCAGCAATGAGCAAAGCAGCCCGGAAAACAGTGAATTAAATCAAACAACATTTGGCTTTCTTTTAACAGAAATTCAGGAATGAAAACATTTTTTTTGTGTTGAGGACTAGTAAGGGAACCAAGTATCTGAAGACACTTCTTAAAAAAGCTATCGTGACTACCTTTGCAAGGGGCATCTTTGGTGCTTATGTATTTTACCAGTTTAGGGAAGCAGTTGGATTTCATTGCTAAAATGAGTCTACACAAATTAAGGCTTAGAGACAAATTTCTGAGAATGTTCTTAGGGGCATTTTCAGTCTCTGTTATCTTACATATACTCCTGAGAATTCTTTCTTGTTCATGTCTACTAACCTTTTGTGCTATCTGTGCCCCTCAGTGAGGGGCTGTTGGAAGCTAACCTGTGCTAAAGTGTTTACTTATAATTTGCAAAAAGTAAGTGCTCAAAGGAGATGTTAGGTTACAAGGCTGTCTAAAATATGTTATTTTTATCAGCAATGAGGTACAATTTCACAATATTTGCTGATGCTATCAATGCATCTAAGGCTTTAACACCGAAGGCCTCAAATTCTGATTATGTCAGATACTACTTCAGAGTGGCAAAGCCTTAAAGAGGATCGAGAAATTTGGCTATGACACGTTTCCATTTGCAAGACTTTTGCAGGATTTCTCCTTTAGGGACAGCTGACTTTGCAAATGCTGTCTGCGTGTCAAGATTTAGGCCACAGGGTGCTCTCGGAGGAGTTACAAAAATCTAATATTCAGAGATTTATCTACTAAAAGACTTGATATACTCTTAAATATAATAGTGTGAATGTCACCTCTATAATTAAAGAACTGGGTATGTGTCAAATTTGTTGCTGTCTTATAATTTGAATTTATTGAACTTCCCATCAGCCCTTGTCAAAACCATATTTGGGATAGATAAAGAATGTCAGTAGACTAACTTTCAGCATGCAAACGTGTATCTTTGGGGTTTAGTTATCACGACTCTAGGAAGAACACACACAATATTACTGACTCGTTGTTTTTGGGATGCTGCAAAAGGATGCCTTATGAAATAACATCTCTGCTATCCTGTCTAGACTTCAGGTCTTGGCATCACAGAAAGAACTACTGGGTGCACTGAATCAATCTGTGAAGTCTCTCCCTGAGGAAGCATACGGCATAAATAAGGTGCCTTTGCAGTCTCTTGCAGGACTTTCTCAGTCACTTTCTTAAAGGCAGGAGAGACAAAAGGTGTCTCTGCCCATGGCAGAAGGGGTGGAACTAGATGATATTTAAGGTCCCTTGCAACCCAAAATATTCTATGATTCTATGTGCTCTTTGGGGAATATTTTGCATGTCTGCTTTCTCCTGTTTTCCGAGGAATGTCTAGATCAAAATGTGACTTAGGCAATAGTACTGTATTAAATACTAATGCATTAAACTGTTAAGATTGCCGTTGTATCCATCATCCAACTTGTCTGGATGTATTTGGAGCACTTTACAGAAATCCTGACCCATCTATGTTATATACTGTGATCTCAAACTAACCTTTCCTTGCCAGATTGGCAGCTTCGGAATGTGGCATGTTGGTGACATCAGTTCCATTAACTGCTATCAGAATATCCCCAACCTGAAGCCCTGCTTCTTCAGCTGCACTGTCTGGAATAAAAAACAAACAAAAAAAAACCACCAACCAACAAACCAAATCCTTTTACTTAGAGTTAGGATATCAAGTATGTCTATATGATCAAGCTTTTCTAGCAAAACAGATGTCTGTCCAGCCAGTCAAGGATAATGCTTTGGGGCCTTTGAGATGTGAACTTAGAGGTCCAGAAAGTTTTTCTGAGCAACCTGTTAGTCATCTGTAAATAAAATTTCAGGATTGAACTGAACACTGTCTAGTGTTGAACGGGTTACCAGATCAACACTAGATAGTCAATGGCAGTGGAGAAATTTCAGTAAAGATGCCATTAGGACTTAAATGCTTTAAGATACAAATAGGCATTTCAGTCTGAGGGTTTTGTCCTTAAAATGCAAACAAGTATCTGGTGTAATGTTCAGTAAAGTCAATAGAAAAAGATTTTATTATTCTGCTGAGTTTTGGATTTAAGGCCAAAAGACTATTTTCTATGCTGATGTTTCTCTTGCTGGTTAAAATAATTTAGCTATAATATTTTGTGGATTTTTTCTGTATGAGGAAATAACATAGTAAATTAACAAAGGGTCAGTGAAAGAGGCATTGACTCAGATTTATTAAAATATCAACCTTTTGTTTATTTGTTAACTATTGCAGAGCACATGTGCTCCTAATAATATAGGGCTCAGGCGGATGCCAGCAGAAATAGAGGCAAGTTGGGGAAGTGACAAATATGCTCCATTCATGAGCAGCATTACACAGTCACTAAAATCCCAGTTGCAGATTTCATGGACACATTTTTTTTCCTTCTCCTTTATAATTAAGCATTCTGGCTGCACTTTGAAAAAAATGCTTTGAAAAAATATTGCTTCAGGTCCATACTATTTAGTGCATATCTTTAAAGATTTCCTACCCATGCAGCAAATGTGATCATTCAGTATATTTCTAAGGAGTCTTAGAAGTTGTATGGAAGAGATCAGTAAAAGCTTAATGAAAAAAAAAAACCAGACACAAAAAAAAGACATGGTTCACCTTCATGTATATTATAAATCATTTTCAAATTTACAAATACCAGAACATTTTGGTTTGTGCTAGTCTTGAGGATCTCATACAAGACCTCATGATCATAAGTGGTCTTTAAAATATTAAAACAATGTCTCAGTGTGCAAACAACAAAGGATAAAAGTCTAATTTTTATATCTGTTTTAATAAAATGGCTCATATTTTGAGAAAAAGAAGTTTTATGTGAAGATTATCTTTAAAAGAAAGAATATTCTTTTTGTTGTTGCTATTTTAAAGCAACTGCATTTAAAAACATAGCATACAAATAAAGTTAAGAGGAATGATATACAGTATAATTAGCTCTATTTAATTAGTAGGTTACAGGGTTACACTGGTAGTTATTAGGGCCAATATTGCATGCATGACTTATGATTTGTTTATATTTAGGTAAAAATCTTTTGCATCTTCTAATTTGAAAGATCTCTTCTGAGATTATACTCTTTGATGTAGGAACACTAAGGGAATCTGTATGTTTGAGAAGTAATCTAAAACTCTTAATGCTAGAAAGAAGGAAGATCCCTTTGCAACAGAGATAACCTTTTAGCAATAGGTGCTGAAATTCCCAACAGACAATAACAGATAGTCATCCCAGCACACACACATCATCACAGTTGTGCTATTTAGACAAATTATAGTTGATTTCAGTTATTTTTTTATCAAAATCATCAGCAATGAATGATAATGGTCTTTAACCTTGTAGTCAAAAGTAACATTCTAATAAGATAGGCAGAACAAGTTTTTCCATTCAAAATTACTTTCTCAGATTCACTTAAATCACTTTTCAAATGAGACATGCTGTGAGTACTATGTAGTCTGAAGAAATATTAAAAAAAAAATATTCTGGACTAAAATTAGGCAGATGTTCCAGGATGAAGAATATTACATAGCCACTTTAGCAACAATTTAGTCTTACTAAGTCATTTGTAGAGGATACTGCAGGGAAAGGTTTTTTTTTGACTTACATTATTGGCAAATATTCAATTGAGAATGGAAATTCCTGATTGCATTCAGACATGTATAAATACATGATAATCTCCAGGATCCGGGTCAAAATCAGGTTTATTTTAATGTAGTTTACAATAAAATATTCTTTGATAAAGAATAAGTATAGCCATATAGAAAGTAAAACAACCACTTTCAACATTTTCTTGTATTTCTTTTGAATAGGTCCATCCTTTGCCTGAGTGCTGATTTTGGATAGAGGTCTTTAAAGTTAGCATGACTTTTAGAACTGAACTGTAGAATCATGCAAAAAGCATGACTGTGGTGTAAATCTAAATATCTTGAGATCTTAAGGGATGTATGGCTTTCTACCACAAGTCTTAGAGCTGTGAAGTGTTAGTAAAGTTGTTGACCTTTAGAATGGTTTTGCTTGGAAGAGACCTTAAAGATCATCTGGTTCCATCCCCTCTGCCATAAGCAGATACACCAGCCACTAGATCAGGTTACTCGAAGTCGCATCCAACAAAGACCACTGCCATACTAAATGAGCCATACAAAACCAACAACAGTTCCACCCCAAATTGGTTGGGAAAACTCCAGTGAAGAGTCTAAAGAACAGGTTAGATGGTTCCTGTCCAAAATGGTTTAGGCATAGTTGGTCATGCCTTAGGGCAAGGAAAACGGTCATGCAGCCTTAGAAGAAACACAGCATCCCTCTCCATCTCAGAGATGTATTTTGCTTTTTCTCTGTGTTGCTCCTTTGCTCAGATTTCTGACTTTTGTGATCTTCCTTAGTGGAGTTTAATGATGAATCTATTTAGTAGCTCAGGAAGCAATTTTTAAAGTGGTGGGTTCAGCTAATGGATTCACAGGACTCTGAATTCACAGGCTTTAACAGTGATGTCAGGAAGCTGGACAATATAATACATCAGGCTGGTAAAGTGACAGAGCTATTCTTGGATGCCTTGGTAGAGGGTATGCACTACCCTTCTTGGTGTAGGATGACATTTTTTATTATATCAGAATGAAAATAATAGTAGTAGAAATCTATCAGACTCTGCTGTACCTTCTCCTCTAAATCTGTTGTGCCTGTCCTGAGATGCAGAGAGAAGCAGAGCAAGCAATGCTCTAGATTTGGGTTTTAGCAAAATGACTCTGACTGCTTGTGTCTCATTTTCACTGCTGTTACTGACAGAGATCTTTTACCCAGATTTCAAAGCTGCCTTTGAACACAGACAATTATTTCAGAGATCTTTCAGTGGTGACTCAGAAGATCTCATTCCTGAGCATAACTGCCAATACCATATTTTCCATCATGTAGGCATGGTATAGATAATTTCTAGAAGCATTTTCATCTTATCAATTTTGCATCTTACTTTGAATCTTTGTTGAAACTCATCTGCCTCTTTTTTTCTCACTCACTCAGGTTTTTAAGTTCCTTTGTGAGTTCCTTGTAATCATCAGACTACCATGCAGAATTAACAGTACACTTGTTAGTGCTTATAGATGGTTTGACGGAAACCCATCCAAGCAGAAGTATCCCTAGCTAATACGGCATTTAGAAATGTTGTTATGAGGATCACTGCACCCTCCATTTCATTCTTAAAGGTCTGTTGTTAACAGGTGTCAGTTCCCCAAAGTTCTAGACTTTACATGTGGAGTGAGGCTGGATGCAGACACCTGCATAATGTATCAACTGGCATGGAAGGACATAGAACAGTGTCTGGTTAACCTACAGGCAACTGGCTCCTTCAGATAGTTTGTCATGAGCAGTTTAAGGACATGTTTTTTAAACACCTTACACCCACTAATTAGGAAATTATTTATGTACATCTATATTATATACTATTATAAAACAGATGATCTATATTAAGTAGATAATATTATATCATATATTATATTACCAAACGTTACATAAGTATTTTTATATAGAGAAGTTAACTAGCACAAACACAACTTACTTGTGTCAACTTCAGTCACAAGGATAGGCTTTGAGAACTGGATCCTGAAACCCCAAGGGTAATTGCCAGTTCCTTTAGAGATCTTCACAGTTCTTTCACGGACTGCAAAACAGGAAAGACATCCCTTTTTCTCTACAGGTCAAGTTCAAATTAACAAGCAGCAGGTGATTTTAAAACTTTTTATCTGCAGGCACTGACAGTTCCAGATTCTGCAAATGTCTGGGATGGTCTTCATCTTTTATATTTTAGAAGGCCTCTATCCTTTGGATACCAATTGTTTCTTTTCCTTCCATTTACCCTCCCCTGTTGACTGCCTGCTCCCACTGACTTTCAGTCCTCTGGCATCACCTGCAATCAGTGGCTGTACCCATGTGAAATGTCTTTCATGTCATTTTCAAGTCATAAAGGTAAAGGGATCACCCTCAGTAAAACAGGAAGATCAGGGTCTAATTGCCCATTTCCAACTTTTTCTTAGGGTCTAGTATTATTATTATGCCTCAAATGGTCTGGCTCGCTAGTAAATCTTATACTTATGAAGGACTTCAGGTAAATTTGAATTCTCAGTGTGTCTGCTTTTGATCATTTCACTGTCTTATTGTGTTTGTTTAATGGAGACAAAATTAATAATAATTTATGACAGCTGTTTTGCTTCAAATTGTGTTGTTTGGAAAATAGGAATTGCTTTAAAGGATATAAATCTTTTAAATTTAAAGGATAATAGTAAGCCGATTGACGTTACCTGTCTGAAAGAGTATACATACTTCAATGCCTACTTTTACTATCTTGTTGGGCTTCTGAGCTCTCCCCTGGGAGAAAAGGCAATCAAAATGGCTCTCCAGAATACTCTCATATATTCTAAGGGAGACTTTTCATATCTGGAGATTTATAGAGAACAACTGTTTTCTCTCATATAGTGAATGATATATGAGCTCCACTAAAGAACTGTTTTCTGAAAAGTTACAGGTGTGTTTTGGTTTGTCTTAGTTATTTGAAATGTGTTACTTTTCAGCAACTTAACATTAGAAAAGTGAAGTAAAACCTCCCATCACCCTACAAAAGTTAGTCACTGTACCTATCTGTATGACGGGGTTTAAACTACGAACAGAAGAACATTTCATACCCTAACAAAATTGATCTTTTTTCTTTCTGGATCTACTATGTTTGAAAGCTTGATGGGCAACAGATTTTAATTCTAATACTATTTATAATACTAATAAGTATATATATTTATATGTATATAAATATATATAAGTATATATATTTATAATACTATAATACTATAAGACTATTATAATACTAAGTATATATATTTTTATGTATAAATATATATATTTATATGTATATAAATATATGTAAGTATATATATTTATAATACTATAATACTATAAGACTATTATAATACTTTATGTCCATAAACAGCTAAGAATTTGCCATGCTTGAAGAAGTTACAAAATTACATTGCTTGTACTCTTATAATGAGGTTTAATTGTGAACTTTTACCAGTATCAGTTTTGTCAAGCAATTATGACATTTTGCAAGACAGTGCTTAATTAGAACTACTTTTTAACAGTTTTTTAATAACCTTTTAGATTATTGGGTTGCTCTTTTTCTCTTCTTCAGCATAAGCATCCTGTGTCTTCTCCAAAATGCTGATCCCCTGGAATCCTCAGAGTGCCCCAAATAAACACAGTTTTACGACAATTATTAATTACCGTCTGCTTTAGCCAACTTACTTGCCACTGGTCTAGGCCTTTTGCTGAGACATCTAGGACTGTTATCTGGAGAGACATCATCTCCTCTGAAAACCCAGGAAGCAGAATGAAAGTTTTCTGTATAAAACCCTCCGTCCTCATTTTCAGAATGTAGTCCCAGATCTACTGACCGAGCATCCTCTGAATTTACTGTCATGAGGATAAACCAAGTAAAAGTAATGTCAGTAGGGAAAATGCATGAAGAATACTGGATCTCAGCCAGTCAGCATGGAATAAATGCCACAAGCTTCTTAATGAACTGCTTGTAATGTCTGTATATAGTTCTGCAATTTTGCTGCTGCTAAAATGGCAGTCTGTAAAGATATCCAAATAGAAGATCACAATATTGGATGTTACTGTGTACTGAACTTGAATGCCACATGAAATCTTAATGAAAATAGGAAAAGCAGGAGCTGCACCTCTTTAAGAGAAGTTTGGCTTTATCCAACCACTAAGCTTTCTTATGCAGCCCATTTTATTTGGAAATCAAATAAGTTTTCTAGAAGTTTAGAATGAGTCCAGTGCATAAGAGAAGACAAAAGAGAAGCTAATAAGTAACTGGCATGACTCAGGCAATGATGACCATATGAACTGTTTGCCTAATTGTAGCTCTTCCAAATGTGTTTGTTTACTTTTTATTAAAAAGGAGGTGATGAAATAAAGTTGAATTTCTGTTGTGGGTGGTTTTGTTTGTTTGTTCGTTTTGTTGTTTTTGTTTGGTTTTTTTTTTTCAATATAGAACTTCTGGCTTGTCATAGGCTGTTGAATATTTGTATGATCTTACATGTGTTATGTGGATTTTAGGTTGGATGGACAGTGAGAGTGCACCCTCAGCAAGTTTGCTTATGACACCAAGCTGTGTGGTGGAGTCAACACACTGGAGGGAAGGGATGCCATCCAGAGGGACCTTGACACGCTTGAAAGGTGGCCAATGCCAGCCTCCTGAAGTTCAACAAGGCCAAGTGCAGGGTCCTGCATCTGAGCTGTGGCAATGCCAAGCACAAATACAGGCTGGGTGGAGAATGGATTGAGAGCAGCCCTGAAGAGAGGGACTTGGGTTGTGTCTGAGGACAAGAGTTGCTTGCTGAGAAGCTCAGTGTGCGCTTGAGCCCAGAATCCCCCCATTTGCTGGGCTGTATTCCCAGAGCATGAGCAGCAGGTCAATGGAGGGGATTCTCCACCTCCACCTTGTTTGCTTGAGACCTCCCACTGCTGTCCGGCATCCAGCTCTGGAGCAGCAACACAAGAGGGAGGTGGAACTGCTTGAACAAGTAAAGAGGAGGCCACAAAGGTGCTGTGAGGGCTGGAGCAGCTCTGCTCTGGAGACGGTCTGAGAGAGCTGGGCTTGTTCAGGCTGGGGAAAAGAAGCCTCCCCATGCCTAAAGGGGCTGACTAGAAATCTGGAGAGGGGTTTTTGACAAGGACCTGTAGGGACAGGACAAGGGGAATGGCTTTAACCTGACAGAGGGGAGACTGAGATGAGCTCTTGGGCAGAAGTTCTTCCCTGTGAGGGTGCTGAGGTGCTGGCACAGGTTGCCCAGAGAAGCTGTGGCTGCCCCATCCCTGGCAGTGCTCAAGGCCAGGCTGGACAGGGCTTGGAACAACCTGGTCTAGTGGAAGGTTTCCCTGCCCGTGGCAAGGGGTTGGAACTGGATGAGCTTTAAGGTCCCTTCCAGACCAAACCAGTCTGTGATGCTGTGATTCTCTGCTTTTCAGATTCATATTTTATAGTAATTTACATTCATAATATCTTGTAATGAGTCCACAGGGTAAAACCATGTCACCCAGATTAACACAGAGGTGGAGGGGAGCTCTAATTCTCTGCTAAAGGAAAAGGCAGTAATCTTCAGGCTCACAAGGAGATAGGAGAGCAGGCCACTGGTGTGTGACAGGCAGGCTATAAACAGCAGTTTGACTGTAGAGAAGAAAGATATGCAATAGCATGACAATTTCCCAAGCAGACTGGGAGCTGGAATGTCAAAGCTAAAACTGGAGGGTGAAATGTACATAAAGGTGTAAACCATCAGTCTGCACTAACAGACTGAAAAAAAAATCCTTAGTATGCATTGTCTGAGAAGAAAAAAACAAATCCTGTTCCTCTCAGTACAAAATGCCTGGTATAATGCAGCTGAAGAAAGGATCTGTTTGTTTGGTTTATCCTGTGTTTGATGGTGCAATTATTCAGAATGAGTTCCTGTTTCAAAACAGAAAAGATAAAAATTAACCTTTATTTAGTTTTGTTCATCAAGTTACTTCCTCAATACATCTAAATGGCAGTCTTTTTTCACTTTGACAGTTTGCTTAACTGTGTCTGTGTAGACAAATACTCCACAGCCACTTGTTTCTCCCTTATTATGCAGAAAGTACGAGATTGCATGATTTACTGTATGAAAAGCTACCAGTAAATAAACAAAAATAATAAATAAATATTACTAGGCTGATGTGTTTAAAGTACATCTTGGCTTGCTAACATGAATTTATAAATTAAGGAAATCTAGACCAACACCAAGCAATTAAGCACAGCACGGTGTTTTGTCAGTTTAATATTGAACTGTTATAATTGTAGCAGAGATTAAAAATCTGTCAAATATGCAAAAACAGTGAAATAAATATTGCCACACTGGCATTATGAAGTTATGAGAGAAGTTACGAGTTGTGAGACAGTTGTCTCAGGCCTGTAGCATACAATCTGAAATTATTAGATACTATGATTTGTGACAGAATTGTCTGTTCACTCACCTGTTCTGGAGACCACTTCAGGTTCATGCCACGTACCACCAAAACCTTTCTCTCAAGGAAACCAATTCTAACTCTTGCAACTTTTTTATTTTTGTGTGTGTGTGTGTGTTTTGGTTTTGTTTGTTTCTTTTTATTTTTTTCTTTTTTCAGTATATTTTCTCTGTGAAACCGGTGGGTGTCTCATGTATTAAAATTCATGGACCAACTCTGCATTCAAGAAATTACTGTTGGAATCAATGAACAGTTTATCCTGGTGTATGTATCCCTTGATTGTTTGAGCACTGGTGGTTTGAAATGGTAAATTTCTCATCTTGCTGTCAGCTTGAACCTGTCTTAGGGCAAAGAATGCAAACTGCTACCAATAAACAGCCTTTTCTTTTCCACATGAAGTGTCAGTCATCTCTGCTGCTTTGTTAAGAGGCATTAAAAACTTCGCAATTGACTCAGTTATCTGAACATAGGTGGCTAGTACCATATTAGAGGGCTTAGTGTATCTCACTTGCCACCCAGTTACTGCTTCAAAGAAGCATGGTCTCTGGTAGTCACATACCTTAGAACCCTATAGGCATTCCAGATGGTAACTGACACTTATGTTTAGATAGTGAATTGAGACTCTGCTGAGGTAGGACCTTCAGTACAGGAATAGAACATATTTACAGTTATCTCGTACTGGACCTGCACTGAAGTCTTCTACAGGTTTGCATTTAACCTTCTTTAAAAAGGAGACTTTACACCTATAAATAAAACTTCCACACCAAAAGTAACCATTATAGCACAAAATATTTCCACAGGGAAGTGTACATTTCTTGATCTGCACAAAGTACTTCTTAGTACTTCTTACATTACTAAAATAGCAAAACAGGAGGCAAGATGCTGTGAAGTAAGAAGTACCCCATATGTTCTCTCCTAGACTGCAATCCTTGCTTGGGGACTCCATCTGCATGAAATGGAAATTCATTAAGCAGTAAATCTTTAAAATTCCTTCCCATGCAATTTAAGCTGATGAGTTTGGTACAGGCTCAAGCATATGGTGAGGTGACAGATTTCTTAATGAGGCAGTTACTGGAATAACTTTCAGTAACTGGAGGAACAGTGAAGAACAATCTAGGCAACAAGCCTGAAGATACAAGGTGAAGTAGGTGGTTATCTTAGTGAGCAGAGAACTTCCAGCGCACCATGGCTTTGACATAAGCAAAGCAGGCATCAGGATTATGATTTTTGTTGCACCCTCAAAGCTACTACTATAAGTGATTACCTGTTTGTCTGTGCCTAGAGCTTAACATTAACTGCATAGGGACAAGGATAATACAATCAACTTTTTTCAGTCAGATTGTTTACTTGGTTATATAAAGAAGAGTGGATATTGAGAAATAGCTTAACTGAATAAAATATGCTTGCTCATGACAATGAGTAAGAAAGGGACTCAGGTTATGAACTGAAGATTAATTTCCTCAGCTGAAAACCCTGCAGACTGTCAATCACACGGAGAAAGAATACAATCCTAAGAGTAAAGTACTCACTTGATCCCTCAGTGATTGTGCTGTTTATAGAGCTTCCTCCAGTTGAACTGCATTTTTTGCTATCTTTGAACTGTTTCCGTCTTCTGGCCCACTGGTCTATTGCTTCTTCCTGGGAACTATCACTGGCTCTGGTGTCTTTCATCAAAGGTAGCTTTCTGGTTTTATTCATTTCTGATTTCAAGTCTAGATTATAATCAGACATTGTGAGGAATGTGTAAGACAACTTAAGCAATAATACTGTTAAAAATTTCTGCAATTTAAATACAAGAATAATTTAATCATAGAAATGAAAATACCAAAAAATACTGAATATATTCAGAAAGTGTATATTTTAAACTGAGATCTTCATGCACAGACAAGCACGTGTGATTGCCTTGTGACAGTTGTATCTGTAGGTAAATGCCTAAATAGCCATTTGTATGGCACCCTTTTTATGTAGAAACATGTAAACTGCACATAGATTTTATATAAAAATGTTCATACTTTTTTTCTTTTATATATATTTTGCAGTGGTCAGGATGCAAATATATCAAGTGATACTTAAATATTAAAAGTCTTGCAAGATACACATGTGTCACTGAGCTCTTTTTCCAGGGCAGCTGACTTAATGAGACCCAGGAAACCAATTTCTTGTGGTGTCCTTTGCATGAGTCCTTGCCCCTCTGATAATAATAAAGTTCTCATAAGACCAGCAGAATTCTAGATTGCCTGAACTCCTCTCCCCCATTCTGTTTACAACATTTGCATTCATTTTTCTCTTCTGTTCTAGGTGCTCTCACTCATTGTTGAAAAGCCACATCTTCTTTCCAGTGTGACTGAATTACCAAGTACAGGAAGTCCTATGTTGCAACTAGTGCCCAATGTCTTGACTAAATAGGTTGGTATTCCCACATTGCAAGTAGACTTTGATTCATATAATGAGTTTTAAAACTCTGAATGCTGATATTTCTCTCTGGATGTACATATTTACGTATTTAAGACACGACCTCCATAGCACTGCTAAGAATAACAGGTGGAAAATCAAAATATAATCATACGGCCAAAGTTACAGACCAGATGAAGTGATGG